AAAAACAAAGGAGAATGAGGTATCACATGCCCAGACTTCAAACTATACTACAAAGCCATAATAACTAAAAACAATGTGCTACTGGAATGAAAAAGACACATAGACCAATGGAATCAAATAGAAAAATGGAGCTACAATATGACCCAGCAATTCCACTACTGGGTATCTACCCAAAGGACACAAAAACATTAACCCAAAAGAATCACTTTTCCCCTATTTTATTGCAGCACTATTTATAATAGATAAGACTTGGAAACAACCCAAATGCCCAAAAATAGACTACTGGATCAAGATGTGATATAGATATACAATGGAATACTATTCAGCAATCAAAAAAAGATAAGATGCGTGCCATTTGCAGCAACATAGATGGAGCTAGAAGGGATTATGCTCAGTGAAATAAATCAGAAGCAAAAAAAAAATATCGGATGGTTTCACTTCTAAGAGGAATATAGGGGAACCAAATAAGGTATTAGGAAAAAATAATAACAATAAAAAATATAACAAAACAAAACAAAATAAACAGACAACTATAAATCAGAGACATTTTGCAGGGGAGGGAGGGAGAGAGATCAAAACGAAGGAGGGAAAAGCACAAGGGACTGTGGTGATGGTGCACGGGTGAACTGGTGGTGGGAATTCTGTGGTGACTGCATCTGAGAAAAGAAAGTAAACATTGTACAAAAATGAACAATGATGTAAAATATATATAAATAAATTTATATAAATATGCATAATGAATATATAAAATATAATATATAAAATATATATAAAATATATAACATAAATATGTAATACATATAGATAAATATGGAAATATAAACAAAATAATTAATATAAATTATATAATATATAAGTAAATTATTAAAAATAATTACATTAATATAAATGGATTAAATATTGCAAATAAAAGTCATGAGGCATTAAACATGATCTGTGTATGTGCTGTTAGGATGCACTTTAGACACTAATAGACTGAAACAAAAGATGGAAAAGGATATGCCATGTGAACTATAAAGCAAAAGAATAGGAGTGACAATACAAATATCAGACAAAAGTTAGGACAAAAATTGTCACTAGAGAAAAAAAAATTTGTAATGACAACATAATTTACTTATCAAAAAGATATAGCAACTTCAACTGCAAATATACATGAGCATATAAAAAGGGCCTCCAGATATGTGAGTAAAAATGTGGAGTAGAGTACAAAACACAGAATTCAACAATAGTCATTGGAGACTTTAGCACACCAGCTTTAGTAATGGATAGCGAGTTTAGAAAAATTCATTAAATTGGAAGAGAATAGAGAAGAATAAAACAATGAGACCTACAGACACTGTTGAACACTCCACTATCTATTGACCGGCTTGCTCTTCATCAGTTTTCACATTCTTGTCAAATGCGCACGGACATTCTATAAAAATATCAGTATGTCAGACCATAAAACAAGCTTCAATAAACTTCAAAGTGGGGAGGTGGTTCAAAATGGCAAGTAGACAGACACTGAACTCACTTCTAAAGATTTATTCTTATTTATTTATGCATATAAGAGCTGGGGTGTTGGCCAGAGGTTTGGGGAGGGGTGAGAGGATTCACCAGAGACAGAGTGGGGCAGAACAGGCAGATCTACTGAAATACACTGCTGAGGGGAGCAGCAGGGTGAGACAGGAGAGGTTTGCTGTGCCCTGTGGGTCAGCAGCCTGGCCAGGGATTGAACTCAGGCTGCAGCAATGATAGAGCTGAGACTTAACCCCTATGCCACCAAGGAGGCCCTGAACTCACTTCTAAAGATACAACAAATCTGTAGGTAAACATGGAGAAATTCCCTCTGACAATGGTAGAGAGGCAGAAGGCAATCTTGCCATGAACCCCTCCTCCTCTATCCCTGGCACCCCAAATCAGGAGGGATATCATAAATACAAGTTTTTTCCCTGAAGAACAAGGATTTGAAACCCACATCCCAACACTTGGGACCTGCGCCAGAGAAACAGTCTCCCTAAAAGTCTTTGAAAAAACAGAGTGTGCTCTGAGGAGAACCACAGGAATTAACTATGGAAACTCCACTCTTAGGGACCTTAGCAAACTCACACCCTAGAGGCAGCAGTTTAGAAAGGACCCAGGCCACATGCAAAAGGGATCCATTTGCTAATCTTGAAGAGTTACTGAGGGGCAGGAAACTGTGGGGAATCTCTGTGGGATGGAGGTGCTTGTGGGTGCCATTTCTGAGATCTCCCCACATGCTGCTGATGGAGGGACTCGCGATATCCCTGTAATGTACTAATGAGGAGGGCAAGCCACCCACCCCCACACCACTGTCACCCACTGGGGGATTGTGTTTCTGGGCTCTGAGGATCTGCAACAGTTAGCAAGTTCTCTGGACTCTCACAACTGGGACCTATCTAGAAAAAAAAAAATCCAAGCCACTTATATAATCACAAAGATTCCGGATGCAGCCAAGAGGTAGGATGAGGTTAAAAAGCAGGGTTTATTGCCAATGTAAGACTCATTCTTCCAGACTGGAAGAGAGAGCTGTTCAACTAAAAGAATTAACACAGAGTGAAATTAAAAGCAAAATGAGAGATATGTTTCAAGGCAAAAAACCAGAAAGAAACTTAAAAGGGTGGAAATATGTAATTTCTCTATATGATCAAACTAATGATCATGAAGAGGTCACAGAATTGGGAAGAAGAGCAGATGATCAGAGCAGGAACATCAACAAGGAAGTTCCACCCAGAAGTCACAGAGCTGAGGACACCATGGCTGAAGGAGGAATACTCGGGAGGGTTCTAACAGTGACTAGATGAAGCAGAAGGCAGCTGGGAGTTAGAGGCAGCCAGGAGGAGAGGGCAGGACAGGGAGGGCCAGGCTGCCTCTGCTCCTGGCTGCCCACCTCCAGTGCATCTGGCTGTCCTGCTCCTGTGGAACCAGCCAGCTGGGCTGTGGGGCCTCTCTCCCAGGCAGAGGGTCAGGGACAGACATCCCTCAGACTAGGGCCCCCTACCCTCCTTTACCTGAGCACTGGCCCCTCCCCCAGAGCTAGTTTCCTCCCACATCAGGGAACAGACCAGCTCCCTCCCTGGGGCTGTCACAGCCCTGATGTGAGTCTCAGATTCTACACCCTCCTTTGTCCCCTGGCAAGTGCAAGTTTGGGCTGATGTGACGGCTTGGGGTCTCTTGCCATGTACCTCAGATGTGACCTTGGGCAAGTTATTTCATCTCTTTGGGCTTTCAGGATGCTGCCTCATGCGGTGCGTGTAGTGCTGACATTGTATGTGGTTTTGAAGACTTAATTCATCTATATCGTAGATGTACTGAAATAACATCTGTAAAGTCCTGGCAGTGAATAGATACTCAATAAACGTGCTCCATATAACCCAGTTCTCACTGGGGTGCCCTGTCCTTTGGAATTCAGGTAGATAGCTGTGACCTCCCACCAAGCCCCAGAAGCTTCTGTGAACTCCCAGGAGGGTGCATGTTCCTGGTCCCCTCTTCAGGCGTCAGTCCTGATGCCCCATCTCATGGAGCCCCGCATTCTTCTCCCATCTGCCATTCCAGACACACACTTTGTGCTGCTGTAGGTCCAGGGGGGCCTTCCCCCCCAACACCCCTGGCTCCAGGCAGTGTGTATAGTGAACTCTCAAGAGGCTCTGCAGGGTGTTTGTGTGCTTGTGTGTGTGTGTGTGAGTGTGTGTGTGTGTACTTACATGTGTGCTGTGTCTCAGCACTGCTGACAGTGATGATGAAATGAGGTTAGGTGTGTGGGCTGTAAAAGCCCCTGCTGTTCTGCCAGTATGTGAGTGCCTGTTACCTGCCCCCCCAGAGTCCCTGACCTGCAGCCACACTGTGTGTCCCTCTCGTTAGCTCCCCTCCCCACCCCCTTCAGCAAATGGTTTCCCAGGTGAACAGTGTCCCACGGGTGCTCACAGGGGTGTGAGGACACAGTAGGGGACACATGACACTTGCTCCCATCACAGGAGTGAGCAGGGGAGGACCTGCCGGGTTCTGACTGTGCAAGAAGTTCTGACCTCAGGGCTCCTGGATGCCCACTGAGGGAAGGTCCCCACTGCTGGGTGGGTTTGGGGGAGTCAGGCCAGTGTGGAATATTCTCTCATCTGAGATACTGCAGGCCAGTGATGAGGTAGACAAGGCTGGCCTGAGGTGACTTGTTTGAGCCACAGGGGAGGGTGTGATGCATGTGAGATTGTCCAGAGTTTGTTGTTGGGAGGCACACACTGCCCGTGACTTGCTGTGTGAACTTTTCAGGCCTCACAGCCCCTCTAAGACTTGGGGTCTCATCATAAGTGGGTTTGCTGTGCTGCTCTTGACCCCCATGAGTGCAGTTGGTGGGGCCTGTCCTGCAGACCCAGCCTGGTGATGCTCTTCCTGGCAGAAAGGGGGACCCCAGTGGGCAGCTACAGATGCCCTGCAAGGTCAGGGAGAGGCACTGCTCCCCAGGGGTGGGAGCTGAGAGATCTCAGATATAGTGGGGTGTCCACTGAGGGGAGCTTGTCCCTGGCCCTCAGGAGGGGTATGGCTGAAGCAGCTGGGCCCTGGGCAGGAGGGCTGTGCAGGCCTCTATGCCCTTCCAACCCCCACCGTGAGGGCAGGAGTAGGGCTGGCAGAGGCTCAAAGGGAAGTGCTGGGTGTGAGGCAGCCTTTGTGGGGGTTTGGCTTCACCTTGTGTGTAGGGAGGAGAACCAGCCCTAGGGCTGCTGAGGAGCCACATAAATACAAGCAACAGGTCAGTGACAGTTTGAAGTGGGTGCTTTGTTATTGTGCTGCTTAATCAGTTAGCCGCTTAATTAGGTAACCGACAGTGGAAATTTATGGAACGTCAATAAGGAAATCTGACTTATTTAATGACCTAAGAGCAGAGGACAGCCACCAAGAGGGGCAAAGACAAGCCTTTCTATGAACGTGGCTGCTGTGCCTGACGCGGGCTGGCATAGGTGGCAGGGCTGCCTGGGAACCCAGGGGAAGTGGAGAGGGCAGGGATGTATGATCACCAAGCTGGTTTGACATGTGGAGGGGCCGCTCCAACTCAGTGGCAGACATGTCATATGGGGTGTGGGTTGTTTATACATTTATTCTACAATTATTTATTGAAGTCCTGCTGTTTGTGCTGGGGTAACAGGAAGGATCTGAATGGCTTATGGAGAAGCTGAGCTGCCATCCCAGAACTAACATTTTAGCCCCGCCCTGGGGTGGAGAAGAGATTAGGGAGGCTCATCTGAGTGAATGTTTTCTTTTGCTTTTTTTCTTTGCTTTCTAGATGTTTCCTCTGCAGCTGAACAGATGGATAGGCAGCCTGGGATGGGGCCCTGCCCTGGAAACCCCCACCTCTGTCTGGTCTCCCGGGCCCTGGGACTCGCCAGCCTCCTCCTCAGTGAGTGGCCTGGGGCCCTGGGAAGGGGGGGAGGGGCAGGGGCAGCTGTTATTTCTCTCTGATGTTGGGTGTCTGATGTCTTTGGTGAAAAAAGACAAAACAGTCTGTTTTGTTTTAGCAAATGAGCACATCTGGTTTAGATACCAGTGTGAATAAATGGAAAGGACGAGATGGCATTTTGGCTGTGGGCGGGCTGGGCCCTGTGCGGGGGCAGCCTGGGCTGTGTTCAGGGACTGTTCCCTGAACAGTCATCAGGACGTGAGGCTGCCTCGCTGAGATAGCAGGGAGGCAGGGGGCCTGGAGCCACCAGGGAGGGGATGAGGCAAAGAAGATTGTTCCTGGGGGTGGGGGCTGGAAAAGGACACCCCTGCCTGGGACTCAGAGGGGACCTGGGAGCCTGTGCGGCTGTCATGTGGGAAGGGGCCAACCTGGAACCCTGGGTCTGAGCAGGAGGAAGCAATGCTGGTCTGGGGTCTTGGGCTGCTCTTCTATAAGGAGAGGACAGTGAGCTCCCACCTGGCTTTGGGATCAACACCAATAGATTATCACAAGGACAGGGTCTTTGAAGTGTCAGGTTTCGCTTAAAATTGTTGTGAAGTCTATGTTCCACATTGGTGTTTGCATTCATAAAAGTTAAGAGTATTGTCTTGTGGTAAATGAAATCTTCTAGGGGGGGCCCTTTATCCGTCGTTGATCGAATCTCTCATTACCTCATGTGAGCAGGCAGACTGAGGAGCACCCCAGGACCCCAAACCTGCACGCTCTAAATGGGTTCTGCCATCTGTCACATAAAGACAAGCATATCTAGAGTGTAAGACCTTTAATACAATTAGTGTCAATAGAGAGAAGAATATAGTTAAATAGAGAAAGAATATAGTTGAAATAGTTTCCCCATGCAACACCCAAGGTTATCCAGCTCCCGTGGGTAAATGTCCAGCCTGACAACGTTGGCCCAAAGCAGGGTCACTGAAGCCCAAAAGCCTGCCACAAGCCCAAGGCACCATCTGGTGGGGAACTTAGGAAAGGGCTAGAAGGATCAGGCAAGTCTGAAAGGAAAATAGCCAAACTCAAAATACGAGTCAAGATAAAGGCTGCCATTGTCAGCCTCCCATGGGTCTCTCACCCATGTCTCTGTGTCTCCTAAGTCTCCAGAAAAGGTCCAAACATGTCTTTCTGCTCCACGTGCCTCCCCCAGGTCTTCTCCCTCTCAGTCGCTCTCTCTGCTCAGCAACATCCTCCTTGCGTGTGACAGGGAACCTGGAAGCTCACCCCTCCCCTTTTTTGTTGGCAGCTTTGGAGATTTTTTAAAATAGCTTATTGCTTTCTTTCGTTTTAAAAACTTTTTAACGTTCTTTCATTGGTGTTCATTTTGTACAATACTTGATTTCTCCCCTTAGGTGTAGTCCCCACAATTCTCCCACCACCACAGCACCTGTGAATCATCACCATAGTCCCCTGTGCTCTTCCCTCTCCTATTTGACTCCTCCCCTTCCCCTGGTGTGTGCCGCAGACCTAGTTTGCCTGCAAGTTTTATCTTTTCCTGACCCTTTGTTTGGTTCCCCTATATTCTTCCTATACGTGGAAAACATCCATTTCCTTCTGACTTATTTTACTGAGCATAATCCCTTCCAGCTCAATCCATGCTGCTGTGAATGGCATGAGCTTATCTTTTTTGATTGCTGAGTAGTATTCCATTGTGTATATGTACCACATCTTCTTGATCCACTCATCTATTTTTGGGCATTTTGGGTTGTTTCCATAGCTTAGCTATTGTAACTAGTGCTTCAATAAACACGGGGGGCACGTTCCCTTCCAAATTAGTGTTTTTGTGTCCTTTGTGTGTATCCATAGGAGTGGAATTGCTGGGTCATATGGTAGCTCCATTTTTAGTAATTTGAGTGTCCTCCACACAGGTTTCCATAGTGGTTGGACCAGATTACATCCCCTTCAGCAGCCTAAGAAAGTGGAACCTCCCCATTTTATGGGAATATACTGTTAGGCTCAGACTACAAATTGAAAACAACTATTTAGGGAAATCCTGACATTTTGGGATGATAAAAAAAATTGTGAAGTATCGTGTTGTGGAGGCTAAAAGCAGGGCCTAGTTGTGTGGGTGCGATTTCAATTCCCAGAAGGTCACGTCATGGATTGTGCAAGTATAGAAATTCTAACTTGTATTTTTTTAAAAGATTTATTATTTATACAATAACTGGGGTACAGGTCAGATGCGTGGGAGGGTGAGAGGATTCACCAGAGGCAGAGTGGGGAACAGAACAGGCAGACTGATGAAATACACTGCTGGGGGAGCAGCAGGCGAGGCAGGAGAGGTCTGCTGCGCCATGTGGGACCCTCGCTGGAGGGCCTGGATTGAACCTGTGCTGCAGTGGCTGCGGATAGCTTCACAGTGCGGTGCTCAACTGCCTGTGCCAACGGGGAGGCCCAGAAATTCTAACGTTTAAAAGGAACAACAGTGCTAAAAATTTAAGGGTGTTCTTATAGCCACATATTGAAACAGAATGGAGAAAATGTGGCAAGGAAGGAGACTGTTAAACGGGGGCAACGGGGTAAACTTGGGGAGGAGAAAAGAAGGAGGATATCGGGGGGGTGGGTGGAGCAAAAAAGGAGGTGGAAAATTTCTGGTCAAGGTTAGATGTCACATTTATGAATTTACTGGAGATGATGTTTATATACATAATGAAATTAAATAAAAGTTAAGGAGAAAATAATAAGATCTAATGGATGATGATTTCTGGTGAATGATTTAACATCTTTGATTATTAAATATTTTGTTTTAATACCTGGTTGGGGTATTAAATTTGTAGGGAATTATATATATATATATATATATACATAAAATATAAATTTGTAGGGAATTATAAAAAAATTTAACGTGTAAGAGGCAGTTGTGAACAAGACTCTTGCATTCACTTTTGAATGAGCTCTTGAATGATCTTTTACAAAACATCATATCCTTTTTAACTAGGAATGTTGAACAAGACTAAAATGTAGACTTTCTTCTTCTTCAATTTTATTTAACATGGGAAATATATTGAATTGAATATAATTTTCTCCACAGGCCCTGGGTTGCCTAGAAGATTATGAGGGAGGAGTGAGTGTGAGGCAACATTAAGGTGCCAAGGGTTACTTTATAATTATGAAACTGCCATGTTCATCAAAAAATATTATATGGATTGGAGATTGATGCAAGTCTAAGGTCTACAGGCGCCTCCTCCCTAGGTACCACTGCTGCTGACGTGTCCCCGCCAGGCCTTCCTGGTGTTCCCGCAAGCATTATCTCCTGAGGAGTCCCCTTCTGGAGGACACAGAGCCCTGCAGCTCCTTCTCTCTCTGTCTCCTCCATTTCCTCACAGCTGCTTCTCCCCATCCAGTTCTGGGGACCCTCCCTGCACCTGAGGCTGAGCCCCTCTCTCCCTGGTCCCTGTTACGGGAAGGGGCCGTCTGGCGGGGCTGCTGTTTGGCCTCAGCTGTCAGGAGTCTCTGCTCTGCTCACCCCACTGAGTCCTGCACCCCTTTCCCAGGAGGGGGGCCCTGAAGGGTGATATCAGGTGTGCTCAGCTCCTGGGGGTCAGACACTGTGCTGGAGAAGGAGCCCTGGGGGCAGGGGAGGGGGAGCTGAGGGGCAGCCCTTGCAGGGGAGAGGCTGGGCTGAGAGAGGAAGCTGGTCCAGGCTGCTCTGCCCTGTGCACCCAGGACAGGCTCACCACTGGGGTGCCTCCTCCTCTGTGAAAGGCGGGGCTGGGTGGGTCCCCTGGGTCCCCCTCCAGCTGTGACATTCTGGGGTTCTGTGCCTCCACCTGACAGGACCCTCCTGGGGCTACTTCATGCCTCTGCTCTGTCTCTTCTTCCTGCCTGTCCTGTCCCTGTGTCCTGATGGGATGGACACTGGGGAGCCCGTGTGGGACACCGCCGAGGGCAGACCCGGCCATCCCTAGTCACCTCCTCAGGCTTCCTAGGAGGGAGGAGCCTCCTCTTCAAGCCCCCCTTTGCCGTCTAGCCTGGCCTGTTTTCCTGTCTCTGCTCCCAAGGGTTTCTCATGGAACAGTGTCCTGAGACCCCTGCTGAAGACATCTCTCCTTCCCCCACTGGGGACTTGGGCTGCAAAGCACCGGGGGAGCAGCTCCCGCTGTGACGGGTAGATGCACAAGGACTGGCTGTGACCACAGCGCTTCAGTCCTGTCTGTTTAGCAGATAATTATTTCTTTCTCTTTGTTCCCCTGTGCTGATCCCCTTTTACCAATGCTGGTGGTGGTGACAGGAAGTAGATAGAATACAGAATTAATGGTGATTATTGGTCGGGATTATTGTCCGCATTGGAGATGGAAACGCTGTCTCAGCTCGTCCACATGCGCAGCCTCCCTTACCACCTTGGCACACAGAGCTGTTTGATGAAATGTTTAGTGTCGTTTGTTGCACATATGATTAGATATTTCAACATTAGATTAACACAGACTATGCTAAGTTTTGTAGATCTTTAAGAATACTTTTATATTTTGCCCATTTATTGATGAGGGGAGCAGTAGGATGCTGAAGTCTGTTCAGAGGAAGAGTCACACGCACGCGTGGGCCACTGGGAACGCTGCTGTGAATTGACCAGGGCGTGTCCTGTATTGACAGGATTCAGGTGCTGCAGGAACACCATGAAGGCCTGGCGGGGACACGTCAGCAGCAGTGCTTACCTAGGGAGGAGGTGCCTGTAGACCTTAGACTTGCATAATCTCCAATCCATATAGTTTTTTTTTGATGAACGTAACAGTTTCATAATTATAAAATAAACCATTAAAGAAAGATGAAAAGACCCACACCAAGTATAATGACTAATATGAAAATTTTCGGCCCAAATGGTATAACATACAGCCTCCATATTTCTTACTATCTCATCAACACAGCTGTGCTCCTGTGCTTGTTGGCCTGGGGTGACAGTGCAGAGGAACCCACCTGTCCCTGCACAGCCACACATTTCCTTTCCATCTTAGGCTTTGGAATAGAAAACCCTGGCAGGACTTTGACTCCCTAAGCCACCTATGGGGTTGGGGTTTTTGACTCTCTATGGCCCATGCCCCCTGTACCCGGGAGGAGACACCTGAGGGGGGCAGCTGGTGGAGAAAAACGGCTCTCCCCTGGACCTGGCATTCTGGTTCTGATCCAGGAATGCCGGGTCAGATCATCATCACAATGAGAGCAGCGCCCATGTCTGCAGTAGTTATGGAACACTGAGCAGGAGTTTTTCTTGTTTTAAATCTCCACGCTAATTCTGAGGTCAGCAGTGCTATTATTTCCATTTCACGGGTGAGACAGCTGAAGGCATCAGGTTAAATAATTGCCTGTACTCACAGAGCCTGAAAATAGAGACCTGGACTTGCTGACTCTAACGTCAAGCTTTTGATATTACACTGATGCACTAGGTCATCTAGTGTGACATCTCAGTATATTGCTTGAAGGTCAAAAGTTTAAGCACAAACATTGAAAGTATAATGTTAAGAATAAATAAAAGCAATGCCTGAAGTGGAACTGATAGGCCATGAGGATGCTGTGGGCTCTATGGGGAGTAGCTACAACGTGGGAGCCCCTGCCATAGAGGATCCAGGATCCTCTATGGACACATTGTGTGGGATATGACCTCACCTTTCTGAGACCCTGAGGGACTGTATAGTTTGTTTCAGCAGCACAGCCTCACCCATCCTGACTACTGCATACCCAGAGGAGTAGGAAGGAGAGAACCTTCATTATTATATTAGCCTCTATTGTTATGTGACTGGTCACACCAAAATGTAGTGCCTTAAACAACTCCATTTTCATGTATTATGGTTTCTGTGGATCAGAATTAGGGGTGGTTCAGTTGGTCCTCTGGTTCAGGATCTCTCCAGCTGAAATCAAGGGGTTGCCTTTCAAGTGGGAGGATCTGCTTCCATCTACTGCTGTGCTTGCTGGCAGGATGCAGCTCCTGTGGCTGTTGGACTGGGGGGGCCCAGCCTCTCCATGGCTGTTGACTGCAGGCTGCCTTCAGTTCCACAGGGCATCTCCACAGGGCACGGGCAGGCCATTTTCAGCATGAACAGGAGAGTGTAAAGCAGAGAGTGTGAGGAGACTGATTCACAGTCTTGTTAATCACTAAGTGACCTTACTAAGTGAACTTACTGTGTTCTATTCCTTAGAAGGAGTCACCAGGGAGGAATCAACAAGGGGTAGAACATGAGGCGAGGGAACTTTATGGACTCTTATAAGTACCTTCTACAGTTATGCTCTTGGAATGTGCCATGTGGTTGGCGCTCTTCTCCATATTCTCATTTAATTTAAATCATCATGATAAGGCAGGCAAGGGAACTTAAGTTTACATGTTCAAGGTTATCCTCCACTACAACTGGCAACTGATCTCAGAATTGCATCTTATTTTTTGTCTTAGGTGACTTCCAATAATCAAGGGAGAATATGCGTGAATTTCATTAAAAATAAGGGTACTATGATTATCAGTTTTTCGTGAAAGTAAAACATTCTCAGTTCCCGTTTCCAATGCCCTAGGCATCTGCAGCCCTGGAGCCAAGAGTTCTGAAGCACACGGTTCTGGAGTGAAAGGTTCTGAAGCCAACAATCCTGTGAAGGGGACTCAAGGAGGTGCTATCTGGTTTCACATGAACACGAACCCAGGAGCTGAGCTGGAGAAGATCTTGTGGGGTTTTTTCCTCAGTCAGCCTACGTCATCATGCTTGAAGTCCATCGTGGGGCAGAAGATGCTCCAACCTGGTGCAACCTCTGGGACAAGTATGGGCAGAGGGTCCATGTGCCCAACATGACGTCCCTGAGGATTGAGAACCTGACCTCTGAGGACAGTGGACGGTACTGGGCTCAAGCCATGTTACCAGGAGGCGGAGAAATGTCCCAACTTTTCCAGCTCACTGTGTACGGTGTGTGACCCCCACACCCCATGCCATGATTTACTTCTTGTCCCTGGAATTTCACATGGGTCCCATTTTGCAGAATTCCTTTTAGATATCAGCCTTCAGATTCTATTTTCTCCCTTGAGATAGGGTTTGTTCACCAGTAATGGAGAGTAGAGCTGAGATTCACACCAGGGAGAAAATCATCTCTGTTTTGGCCGAAGAAAACAAAAATTTGGGAGAATGGATTTTTTTTTTTTTGCAGTAACATATAGATTTTTTTTAAAGGATGAAATTTGCTTTATTTTTGTTTTAGTTTTCTCTTGCTTTTGTGTTAAAGACAACATACAGTGGGTTAATACATCATGTATTTTTTGTCCTTTCTGGAGGTTACAAGTCAGACCAGTGTCTCAGTGACTGAATGTTAAGATGTTGAAAGAACTGCATTCCTTTCTGGAGGCTCCAGGGAAGAATCCTTTATTTCTTTCCCTCCTTCTGGTAGTGCCTGTGTCTCCTTGGCTCCATCTTCAATGCCGGCCATGGTTGATCCTCACATTAAATCTCTCTGACCTCATGTTCTGCCATTTCTTCCACTTTTTTTTTTTTAAAGATTTATTTATTTATTTATACAAGCACTGGGTACAGTCAGAAGTGCTGGAGGGTGAGAGAATTCACCAGAGACAGAGTGGGGAACAGAACAGGCAGACTGACGAAATACACTGCTGAGGGGAGCAGCGGGCGCTGCAGAAGAGATCTGCGCGCCATGTGGGACCCTCGCCGGAGGCCAGGGATTGAACCAGCGCTGCAGAGGCTGCGGGCAGCTTCGCAGCCCAGCGCTCAATTGCTGCACCTCCAGGGGAGGCCCCATTTCTTCCACTTTTAAGGATACCTATCCTTCCATTATGATACATTGGTTCTTCCAGATAATAGCAATAATTTCCCTATTTACATACCGATATTAAAATTATTTTATTTTAGGGAAAATGGATATTATCATTATACTGGAATAAAAAACATCTGATATAGTACATTATATTCATTATAAATAATATTCATTCACTAAAATTCTAATTCTATCCACCATACAATTGACCTTTTACCTGAGTTACTCATTCTCCTTTTCCCTTCCCTTCTGGTAACCACTAATTTGGTCTTATAGTCTGAAAGTTTGTATTTGTTTTATTTAGTTCACTCATTTGTCTTGTTTTTTTAAGAACCACATATGAACAAAATCATAGGGTCTTTGTCTTTCTGCATCTGACTTATTTCACTAAGCACAATACCCTCTAAGGTACATCTAAGTTATTGATAATGGCAGGATTTCATCTTTTATATAGCTGAGTAGTATTCTCTTGTGTACATGTTAACGCAACTTCTTTATCTGATCATTTGTTGATGGGAAATTTATTCTTTTCATATTTTGGCTAGCACTTGCCATAATTGAGGCACTAATTACATTTCACCAGCAGTATTAAAGCATTCCCTTTCCCCCTCATCTTTTCCTCTTTATGTTGTTTCTTTTCTTTTGAGTAAATGCTATTTTTAGGGTTGTAGATGATTTCTCATTCTTGTTTTGATTTTCATTTTCCTAATAATAACAATGATGACCATATCTTCATGTGCTTATTGGTCATCTTGTATGTCTCTTTGGAGAAGTGTCTGTTCAGAGTCTCTATACATTCTTGTATTGGGTTGTTATTATATCTCCTTTGTGTATTTATATATTTTGAATATTAACCTCTTGTCAAAAGTATGATATGCAAACATTTTCTCCTGTTTGGTAGGCTTCCTTTTTGTGGGGAGCATATTTTCTTTCTCTGTGCAGGAGTTTTTTAGGTTGAGATCTTCCTATTTGTGTTTGTTTCAGTTTCCCTTGCCATTGTAGTAGCCCCTCTGAGGTTGATATTAAGAATATATCACCTATGTTTTCTTTCATGTATTTTACTGTTCTGGGTTATAAATTCAAGTCTTTCATTCATTTTGAGTTTGTTTCTATGTATGGTGTTAGATAGCTTCATTCTTTTGCATGTGGCTGTCCAGTTCCCAACTCTGTTCTTGAAGAAATTTTGCTCTTTGTATGCTCATGGCTTCATTGTCATAAGCTAGTTTCTTATATATGTGGGTTTATTTCTGGGTTTTCATTTCTGTTCCATTGATCCATGTTTGTGTTTTAATTCCAAAACTATGGTGCTTTTGGTTACTATCATTTTTTTTTAAAAGCTTAAACTTTTTTTTTTTTTAAGATTTATTTATTTATGCAAGCACTGGGGTACAGGCCAAAGGCACAGGAAGGTGAGAGAATCCACCAGAGACAGAACAGGGAGCAGATCAGGCAGAAGGACCAAAATACACTGCTGAGGGGAGCAGCAGGTGAGACAGGAGAGGTCTGTGGTGCCATGTGGGAATCTCCCTGGCCTGGCAGGAATCTAACTGGTGCTGAGGAGGCTGGGGACAGCTTCACAGCGCTGTGCTCAACCCGCTGTGCCACCGGGGAGCCCCCATTTTGTATTTTTAAAGTCAGTGATTGTGTTACTCTATTTTTGTTCTTTTTTTCTGTTTGTTTTGGCTGTTGGGGTCTTTTGTGCTTCCAAATACATTTTTAGAATTTTTCTTTGACTTCTCTGAAGAATGTCATGGGATTATGATAAGGGTTGTGTTTAATCTCTATTCTTTACATAATATATCCATTTAATGATGTTAATTCTTCCAGTCTATAAGCAAGGAATTTTTTGTTTTTGTTTTTTGTGCATTCATCTATTTCTTTCAATATCTTATTTTAGTTTTCTGTGTACAGGTCTTTCATCTCCTTTGTAAAAATTTCTCCTAGGCATTTAATATTTTTTTGATTAAATGAAATTGTTTTCCTGATTTCCATTTCTCCTAGCTTGTTATTTTTATATAGAAACAAAACTGACTTTTAATATTAATTTTTTATTTTTCCACTGTATTTTATTAATTTATTATTTCTAATTTTTTTTACCTGAGTCTTTGAGATTTTCTATGTATTACCAGCATCTGCAAATAGTGATAGTTTTGCTTCTTGCATTCCCATTTGGATGCCTTTGTTCCCCTTTCTTGTCTAATTGCTCTGACTAGGTCTTAGAGTACTATGTTGAATGACAGTGGTGAGAGTACACATCCTTCTCTTATTCCTGATTTAGAGGAAAAGGTTTCACTTTTTCAACTTTGAGTATGATGTTGGCTGCAGTTTTATCATAATTGACATTTATTATGTTGAGGTATATATTCTTTTTATAGCCATTTTGTTGAGGATTTTTTAATATCATAAATTGACATCGACTCTTGTCCAAATTCAGTATTGTCTGTTCTGCAGTACTGAGATGATTATATGATTTTTATCCTTTTTGTTGATGTGATGTATCATGTGAATTGATTTCCAGACATTGAACCATCCTTGTATTCCTGGAGTAAATGCCATTTGATAATGGTATTTGATTCTTTTAATGTATTGTTGAAATTGTTTTGCTAGTAGTTTGTTAAGGATATTTGAATTTTTGTTTATCACAGATATTGGTCTAAGGTTCTTTCTTTTGTGATGTCCTTTGGTTTTTGAATTAGTATAATGTTTCTTCATAATAGATGTTGGGGAGTTTTCCCTCCTTTGAATTTTTTTTAAAGAGTGTGAGGTGGATAGATATTAATTCTTCTTTGAAAGTTTGGTTGAACCCACTAGTGAATCCATCTGGTCCTGAGCTTTTGTTTTTTGGAGACTTTTGATTTGTTTTCATTCCTTGCTTGTAAGGATCTGTTCAAATTTTTTATTTCTTCCAGATTCAGTCTTGAAATG